TTGGGTAACCATTCTCCAAAAGCGTTTTAGTGATTATCATCAACAGCAGTACGTCGGCTATTTGCACTGACACTTCCCTGCCGTACCCTCATAAATATCTACGGTAAGAAGAGTACTAAGAGGGAGGGAAGGGGGACTTACCAGCAAAACTTTATGCCCTAAACAGACATTCAGGATCAAAGTCCATACACCATGTGTCAACGAATTATCGACACAAACAGCTGGCTATCGTGCAAAAGATCAGGCGGCATCAGCGAGACAGCTTTCTTGCGGCTTTCACTGCCAGTCGCCATAATCATCCATTATCCCGCAGCTAGAACAGCACCAAACACACTTTAAACAGGCAGTCCGAGTAGGAGACGGCAGTTGACGCGCCACTACTATTATGTAAACTCTCGAGCGAAGCACATTGTGTTCAACGTGAACTCCTTCGGGGAAGATGAGACGGACCGACGGCACCAAGTTTAGTCGTCAGTGACTTCATTTCCCGCCGCCAAGTCAACTTTTGCCCACTTGGAACCTTGCGCCACCCTACATCTGGCAAACAAAACAAGGCCTTCCTCAGTAAACGGTGACCGAGTGTATGTGGTACTTGCCCAAACCAACACAACTTACTCAGTGCTATCTGTTGTTATAAGAAACCAGCCTGATTATCACTGCCTAGTATTCGCCTTCACACATCTTCGTCGCGGACGCGCTGGTGGCACCCGACGTTGGCAATGCTCTGCAGACAATGATGATCAAAGAATTCAGGGCGCCTCAGTTCGTCAGATGGAAGGGGACAACTCTCACTCCCTCACTGTGGCCTTGTATGCACGGCCTTTCAGACGAACGGAACGCTTTCTGACACTACAAATACCGCAGATTCCGAAAGGGAACAGTTCTGCATTTTGCAACACGAGAACTGACATTAGTGCTTACGCACACATCGTTGCTGATGCAACTGCCAAGGTAAGTGAATTGATCAACTACCTCGAGTTCCTGACCATCAAGGGGTCACCAGATGGATGGGGATCCTGCAGCGACACTTTGCGCTTTGAATGTGCGAAGCGCGTACCAGATGATTGGACTGCTCTAAACGAGCTATTCATAGTTGATTGCGCCGCCCCGACATCGCCAAACACCAAGACGATATCATCTGCATAATCAGTATCAACAAGTCTTTCAACAGGCAGCACTTCAATGCCTGCGTCGTGGGATTACGAAAAGGAACAATCCATGATGGAATCACGATGAAGTTGAACAAAAATGGGGAAGTTGGGCAACCCTGACGAACACCCCTTGTTGTCGGAAAGCTATCCGACAGGTCGTCGTTGACCCTGACGCAGCCTGTAGTGTTCGAGTAGAGGTGTGCAAAATGTTCACATTTTCCATGGGAACACCTTCAAGCTCAAGTATTTCCTAGAGAATGCATCGATGTACTGAATCAAACGCACTCTTGAAGTCGAGGAACACAGCCATTGTCGATCTGCGGTACGTATTGCGCTGCTCTAGCACCTGCCACAGAGTGAATAGATCGTCTGTACAGCCAATTCCTGGGCGGAAACCTACTTTCCCTTCCCTAATTCAAGATTCCCGTTCCACAGTGAGGCGACGAACGAGAATCGATGCCAGTAAATTTGTCACCATCGGTGTTAGTCGAATACCCTTGTAGTCAGCATAGTCTGTGCGACTACCCTTCTTGTATATAGCCACTATAATCGATTCACTCCAATTAGACGGGACACTGTTCCTTCCAGATGTGTACGAATAGGGAGCTCGGTGCTTTGCAGAGGACCTTACTTCCATCTCTAAATAGTGCAGGTGGGAAGGAATCCGGGCCAACGGCAAGAAAACGATTGAGAGCTGCAATCGCGCTTTAGACTTCAGCCTCTGATAGAACCTTTAAACTAACCGCCCATGGCTCATCCTGCATCACCTGAGTGGGAAGACGTTCGGAATCAAGGGGCCAACTGATCTGATCTTGAAAGTGCTCCGTCCAAGGAGCAGCAATACGCGCTCCTTATTGTGAATCAGTGTACCCGCGCTGCCTGATTGTTTCACTGATGACCGGTTTCCTGGGACCAGTGCTGCGGATCAGCCTGATGAGCTTGTGATAATCGCCTACGGCTCTTACTTCCCCCATTTCCTGGGCCCGACTAATCCACCAGACTTACTACTCAGCACGTAGGCTCCTTAGTTTACGCCTAGTAGTCCGTCTGGTAACATTGTGCTCTGAGCAAGCAGAGAGGTTTCTTCTGGATTCCAACAGGTTCGCAGATCTCTCGAATATTCAGTGACTGGTGCGGTGACGATTTATAGTACCACAAGCAGATGCTCCTGCACCTCGTATGGTGAATGAGAAGTTATTCCACTGAATCTTAGTGTACAAGGGAGCGAAAGTTCGGTACGCATTGCACCCTAGTCGCCTTGTCCGACCGAGAGCTGAGATAATTTCCTTATCGCCAGTCGAAAGAGACGCTTGGTGAGCCTTCTGTTATCACTCATGGAAAGGCGAAAGCGTACCAAGGCATGATCAGAATCGACGTCAAGTGGCACATCGGTGTCAACTGTGTCTATAAGCGGTGCTTCTAAGTAAAAGCTGGTGCTTTTCGTGCACTTGCAGCCGACGCTCGCCGTTGTCCGTCCGTTCCGAGTTAAATCCATACTTACCACCTAGCTGAGCTTTTGAAGAGCCCAGATGGCCTACTTATGCAACCATATCTCTGCAAATTCTGTGATACTTGAACTTGTAGCACTGCGTAGACACATGTTCAGTTCGTGGTAGAATGTATCCTTGGCAGCATCGGAACTGCAGTTGGTGAGTGCATAAGCGAAAGCCACAAACTAACAGTGTCTTGTACTACTTTTTGAATCAACCTTAATGGATGTTGTCAAAACGGATTGCAAACAAGCGTCTGTTTACGGGAATCCAATCATGCAGCGACAACTCAGTCTTGGAGCCGCGAACCATGCCCTCTCCATATTGACTAGGGGTTGCCGCATCAGCGTCTCCGGATACGTGCACCCATTAGAGATAAGCTTAACTTTCCAAACCAAACAGTTGTTCGGACAGACAAGTCTAGCATGAGTACACACTGTTTTCACCAGCGCGCGCTTGTGTATCGTCGCTGTGAAGCTAGGGAAGTTCAGGTATTGGCCGGACCATGTTGGCCTCCGGTATACAGGTCGCCTAATGAGCTCATTATCCTTACGACTCATAAAAATGTCGAAGTATTGAAGACGCCCACTCGATTTGAATTCAAAGTCAACTTCAGGTTGGTGTGAACGCTAAAAAGTTGGTCTACTAACCGTCCGATTTGAACCCTTGAGGTATAGAAAACGAGGATGTCATCTACATATCATCCCTAATACAGCAGCTGAGAAATATCTCCACTTAGTTTCCTTCAAGCGTCAGCACAAATAACCAGGCAGTTCTGAGCCAATCGGACTACCCGTAACTATCCATCGGTTTGGCGATATGAGTTTTGCTGGATTTGGGTAGTGACGTCCTCCGTGCAAAGTAACAGGGCTGTCTCAGCACATCTTCCAGTATTGGTAAGCGGAAATTCCCCTTTTATATTAAGTGACAAATTCAATCAACTGTCTCGAGCAAATGGACACTAGTAACTAACGTCTGCACGTCCACTGTGCACGTAATCTTGTCGGCTGTGCTGATTTGGTCTAGGATTTCCGTTATTTCAAGAGTCCTTAATTCCACGCGGAGCTATACGCTGTTGGGCGCATCCCTAGGTTGCTGATTGGGTACTACCTTTCTCGTATAGGTAACTGCGAATAAGTCTCGTTTGCTTTGCAAGCGAGATGAGTAAAGAGTCCCGGACAATCAGCGGCAAAGTCGCATTTGCGGGGATTTCTGAGCTGGTCACCTAGTTCTCCATCAGACCATAAAAGCTCATGTCTCACTGTGTCAAAGCCAATGTGACTGACTGTAGGGTCACTATCCACTCACTGCTGCAACCAGAGGTTTGTACCAAACGAAGGATGGGTGAACAACCTTGCTGACCACCGGCTTCTATGCGGACTACTACCGATCACGACGGTCTTCGTATCCAGCGGCTGTTTGGACTTTCCAACGACATGCGTTAATCGCCACACTGCCTTGCGGTTGAGGTCTTTTAGACCGATGGGGTATCTTAGGTCAACCCTTTTCCTCGATCTGGACGATCGGGAGTTATCTGTCTTTACACAACACTTAAACCTAACTATCCCTTCCCATGAATGCCATTCTCCCCCTTTTTTGTTACCCATGCGTTGTGGCCCGCTGTCAATCGTTTATTGGCACGTGGCGAAACCGAATTAACTGAACCATAGGGCAGTTCTTTATAGCTGTAGATCATCGATGAAGGACTGCCCGTTATCTTTTTATTTATGTTATGTTAAAACTGCATTTCGATGCTTAAACATCTTTTACTCTGTCCTTTTGAGACAATGTTTTCCCGTTTTTCGTATTCTGGAGCCTTCGAGAGTGCTTAACTTCTCCATTGGTCAACAAAGCCTGTACCATCACTCCATAGTCTGTGCTTTGAGCAAAACATTTTTGGCAGTCAAGGCCTTGTTAATGCTATACTTGCTTCTTTAAACAGTGGGGTACTGGAATATCTGTATTCTCTTGAGAAAAAGCGATAGCGAACCAAAACACGATCTACCGTCTCATTGATGTTACAGGACTTGCACCACTCTTGATATCCGGTCTGCTCACAACAATTCACTATCTCCAATCCCTTTGGTGACTTCCTGTAAGTGCTCGCTGGCGCTCAACTGACAGCGGGTGGTAGTCCCGAAGGTGTAGTTTGTTGGGTCTGGCTCCGAGTCTTTCACGCCTAACTCGACTCATCAACTTGCATTCCACATGACTCTATTCCTGGAAACACGCTCTATCTAACCATCTGGCTCGCCAACCAATGAAGTCATCTATAGACTCAACTTGCACGTGTGTTTCGTATCTATACACTGCCTATCGTGCTGTAAGCTTTCACATTTCCCATCTTGTCCTCTTGCAGCTGTTTAAGACTATCCCTGTGATCGAGAAGCAATTGGACACCCTCATGGCCTTCGACGTGAGTGTAATGCGCATTTCCCTCAACTGTATCTTGTTTACGTTTGCAGAACATTAGGTAAACAGTTACACTTACTGTTCACTTTCCATTGATCTATATTACTTAGCCAAGCTTAGCACAAATCTACCAAATTTTCGGGCACTCTTATGTACCTCATAAGTAAATCCACCTCTCTAATTTGTCAAGTATCTCGCGTCACCTGGTTTCGGTGACTGCTTACCTGTTTGATCTGGCCAGGGGCTGTACGGTCAAGGTTAGCTATATACCATATCGGCTCTTAGTGAACTATCTTTCAAGTTAGTAATCCCTGCTTTTACTTATCGCAGCCAGACATTGGTTATGCATTTGGCACTAATGCGTTTCGTTGTCTACCGCTCCCTGTGACATAAATGCACAATGCATGTGCTGTTCAGTGCAAATGTGGAGAGAATTAGACCCTTGTTTGTCAACCGACCAAACGACAGGCGTATTAACTGAGCAACTAGTCACCGGCCCCCAATGGCCTCGATTCCCTGAATTCGCCCTTCTGCCTTGCGGGTAGAGTCGTTAAATAAATGCTCGGGGTTGTGTCACCTAATCAACACCCTTTTTCGGCTTGGGTAACCGGTTAATATCTTGCCCTCTGACGAAATCCTGGATTTCCCTGTTTTTTATTCGGCCTTCTTTTGTATGCTAACTGTATCTTCCTTGGGTTTCAGTGATTTTTAATGGCTCTTTGTCATATAGATATATATATATATATATATTAGCAAACAAAATATATCTGTTAAAGCATACGGCAATGTAGACATAACTCTTCATAAATTCGCATATGAGGTAAGTTGCTTAACAATGAATGCGCGATAAGTACAAATTTTCCACAAGTTACTCAAAAATGCTACAAACCCAATAAAGTTAACAAAAACAACTACATTTAGCGTAAGCAACGTGGCCAGTTAGTGAAAGATTATTCAGGTAGGCAGAACAAACCAAATAAAGTGGAATGAAATTTGTCCAGCGTAAAAAGACCTAGTTTAAGTGTAAGTTGGTTTAGCCCAAGTGCGGCAAAGAAGCATCATGAATGCAACATCAGCCTCAGAATGGGATATATATATATATATATATATATATATATATATATATATGTTGCATTCATGATGCTTCCACGGGTGGTCAGTCCTCTTGAGGTTGTTGCCTCGTCAATATTTGTTGATTATCTTGATTTGTGGGGAAGCTTGTGAACACAGAACCAATGTCCACAGCAGCGATTCTGTGTGTGAACTAATATCGTTGCCTTCACGCGTTTACTGACGTCTTACATAACGGTGAAAATGTACATTGGCCTATGTGGCAACATTTTGCGCCTGTGCTTTGACGCACTCAGAGAGCTCGCCAATCTCTGGACCCTTAGCGTCCCGAATACTGCATGATCTCCGTTCACACCGGCGAGCTGCGGCATAACATGCAAACCGTCCACACTGGACATCTCATAACAACACGATTTTTGTTTGAGTTTCATCACTTAGAGAAAATGCAAGATTTTCGGCTCGGGGTTCACGCTCGTCGAAACTCTGTCAGTCACGCCTAAAGGCACTTGTTATCTGCAGTGCGGTTTTCACTCCGCTTTCACTGTTTTTTCTCACAACTTACTCCGATCACTCACTTCAGGTTTACCACTGCTTGATGGTGACACAAAGCCGCTGGCGCCTGTATATCATGCCTGTCCTACCGTCGATTACACATACTACATGCCATCAATGGGATGAACCAAAGGCTCTTATTTCGACATAGTCATGAGTGCGGGATTTCGATATAAATACTTGAGGGTTCGTCGCAGCCAGTTCCAAATCAGCTAGTCGTCCACATGCCCGAAAAAGCACTAGACTGCAGTCGCAGCCTGTTTGGGCATCGTCAATAGTGCGCATCCATCGGATCCATCAGGATTCAAACCCATGACCACCAGCGGCTTGCACCGCCAGTCAGCAGTTTATATCACTGGGCAACGGGGGACAGCTTCGGACCGTCATGATTTGCAAGCTAACTGCGATATTGCGCGTCTTATCCCCCACTGTCATGTAAGTTATGAACGTTGCAGAGGACAGAGTTGGCCCCGAAAGACACGACGCCCACTGACAGCAGCGATGTACGACGTAGCATTTAGAAGCTGTCAAGGCGGATATATTTTGATGTAGTCATGAGTAGGGGATTTTGATATAATTAATCGAGGGTTCGTCGCAGCCACTTCCAAATCAGATAGTCATCCACATGCCCGGAAAAGCACTAGACTGCATTTTCTAAATGCTTTTCATACATGGCTGCTGTCAGTGTACCTCGTGTCTTTCGGGGCCTCTTATTTTATTGCTTAAATGTTAGCTATTCTAATCGTTACACCCCTCTGTGTTGGGTGCAAGTAATAGATTTCAAGTCGCTTGTCACTGGCTCTAGACATAGCAAAACATTCACGTTTGGCGTCCTCCTAAACGAATCGCACTGTTTATCCTCTCTCTGCTAGCCCCATTTGTTCGGCATCTGGCACGCTCCTAGCGCAATAACTTTCTCTCAAGTGCCGGTAACTCTGCACTTGTCCTGTTCAATCCGAGCGATTCCTAACTGCTCACCAAAGGAGCACTCAGCTCACCTATATGATCACGGACATGCAATGATGTTCACCGCATTTTATGTGACTTACGGATGGTGCAACTGAAGCCACCACTAACTCCTTAGTAGACGCTGGAGTCGTACAACTGTTGACAAGCTTATCTAGAAACGGGCGCCGCTGAATACATCGCAAAAACAGCATTAATTATAGGTATATTTTCAACGACGTACAACACAGTTCAAGGAAACTGGTTCCTTCATATTGTACAAATTTAATTCGGGTTGTCATTTTAAGCATTATGCAACCAAAGTTGACAGCCACTAACAAGACTTCGGATTATATTACAGCCCTTAAGCGTTGAATATCGTTCAGGCGGAGCATTCGATAGTGAGCGGCTGCGAGGTAATAAGCAATAATAACTACGAAGTGGGCCTAAACCTTTCCATACTGGTACATGACGGTCATTTGTACACGGGGCTCACAGAGTGGAAAAAGACAAAAAGATGGCATTTACAGGATCTACAGTTAACTACTTCCTCATCACAAGCAATGACAATTATGGGACGTAAAGCACGTAGTGTATGCTGCATACTACAGTCGATTTACCTCATTGACAGCTACCGACCTGCTGGTCTGATGTATTAACTTTATGGAAAATTGGCTTAGAATAGATTCGCGAAGTTTGGTCATTTGTCCAACCCGCCAATGTATCTATTTTTCGTAGACACACAGTGAGTTTTTCATCTACTTGAGTATGGAAGATGGAGCAGTGAAGGAAAGGGTCGAAGGTGTCCCATTTATCCAATCACCGTCGTCCTCACATTTCTCATGGTTGCACAGTAAGTATTCACTCTGAAGGAGAGGGGAAGAGAAGTGAAAAATAGGATTCTAGTGCCCACAATCTCTGCCTGTTGTGATCTGAGTTCGAAACCGGTCGTGAAATGTGGTTTTTTCGGAAGGGCAACACCTAATATCAAGCCGCTTCATCAGTTACGGTCCCAGTGATCTGGTTGATCAAGGTTCATTTTAATACGAATCATGGTGCATGATGAGATTGCGCGTCGCAATCCATCCACACAACGAGTGCTTTAGCATGACCCTCCAATCAGTCATTAATCCTTATGACAAGCTTTACCCGTCAGGAGTCGGTGGATTATGGATAGAGGTTTCGACTAACATTTCATTGGCTTCGAGTTTGATGCCTGTTATCACTGCTTGATAAAATCAAAGAAGGGTAGAGTTGTTATAACCAACCGAAGGAGGTTCTTTTGAAATTACAATATTTGGAAGCCAAGGCGTGTAGTCATAAATCTGTATCTCACCAACACTTGGCGTACGTTGTGTTAAGAAGTTTTCTCCCCATCCATCGTCCAGTATCAATACCGTGGGGAGTTGGAGTTAATTTACTTAGAGGTGGCCACAGACTACCCATCGTGCTGGATCAATAGCACTCCTTAATTATTAGTGCAACCCGGTCTGACCACCCAGTGGTACTTATCGGTGTTCTCTCTGATGGGTTAGTCTGGAAAATTACATACTCTTACTTCTAGAAACCGATCAATTGTGTTACTGCCATCGTAATCCTAGTTACTGCTTTTGGGCGTTTTCTCAATGCACTGCACTCCGCTAGTCGACCCTGAATCCATGTAACATACATTATCGTCGAAGAGGATTGTAGCTCTTTAACATCAACCATGACCCTTACTCTGGGACCTTTATTTCGGTGGCATTCTGGTTGGTCACAATTCAAGCACTCGGCGGTCCCTGTCGCGATCTGCGAGTCGCCTTTATCAACGTTTGCAGTCTCATGAACAAGCGCGATGAAATCCGTCGTTTGGTTGCATTTGAGCGGCCAGACGTAGTGGGACTCGCAGAGGCGTGGCTGAACTCTAAGGTGGTTGTTCAGGAAATCGAGCTCAATAGATACTTATGCTTCTGCAACGGTAGACTAACGATTGTCACGGTAGTGTCTTCCTGTACATTCAGTTTTCTCACTAGGTTGGAGACTTGTGATCGTCTGCACAAACGACGGTAGTCTGTGTGATTTGCCGTAGGGCTCGATCCACCTCAGGCGTGGGAAGAGCTACTCGTGGGCTCAGTTTATCGCAGTCCCCTAAGCCGGTGTTTGGATTGGCTGCCGCATCTCTGAAGCCGCATGAGTCGTCTTCATTTTCTACTCACGGGTGTTTTCAGATATCCTCGAATACGCCGGCCTGAAGTTGAACCCAAGCCCGGACATGATTATGTCGGAACAAGGTTCTTGGACTTAGTACTTGAAAGTTGCACAGCGCAACATATATACCAGCCGACTCGAATAACGCCTCGCCTAACTCCGTCGTGCGTAGTCTTGATGTTAACAAGCTGTAGATAAAAAGTGTATGACATTCAGATCCTGGAGCCTTTAGCAGTAAGAGGCCGCTCGGTGCTCATCACTAGCGTGGACCCGCATTTACCATATTCCAGTGTGCTGGAGCCAGCTTACAACTACCGAAAAACTAACTTCGACGGTCTACCTTGATCCGCGACTCAATTGGACTCGTCTCTACCGTAAGCTGCATCTGTGAAATACTGATGACTAGTATAAAAGTGGGTGGGATATTACTGTGTTCTCTGTTTGTACTACTGAAGTGCCGGAACGCTGGACCGGTGAAGACGCATTCGTTGACAAAGAATGCGGTAAGCTGGCTGGATTGCTGCGCAAATTGTGGGACATATTCCTCCTCTCCGGTGTATAAGGGGCAGCGAAATATTTGCAACAGTGCTAAACCGATCAAGTGCCAGCATTTTGAGGAGCAGCTCGCGACTACCTCAAAAGCAGCCCCGAAGTGAATCTTTGCTTACGTGAAACGGGGTCTGAAGTTTGCAGGTGCCAGCTCCTAACCTTCAGCACTGAGCGTGCGTCCACTTTGGTTGTGCACTTCGCTTCCGTATTCACAAATGACCAGGTGTCTGCGCGGAGTTCGATGTGTGCCGCGCTTATCAAACTCGGCCGTCTGGTTTGCTGGGTTGAAGAGGTGAGTCAGCCACTCGGCACCCTTGACGGCGCCGAACCTGCTGGCGCTGACAGACTCTACCCACTGATTCTCAACGCCCTATCTGCCATCATCTCACCTGCTGTGACTTTGTTGTTCATTGCCGATCGCTGAAAAGCTCAGTGATAAAGTTGATTCCAAATAGAGGTAACCTGGCAAAGTGAATAACTACAGGTCAGTTTGTCTGGCACCTATTTTTGCCATGGTTGCCTAGAAGATAGTAAAGAAGGGTCTACTACCGATCGAATGTTCTACTGACGGCCGCACAGCGCAGTTCTTTGCTAGGCCACTCATGCATTACCAACCTGCTGGCGACGAGGTGTGAATGGTCGCAGACAGAGAACTATGGGAAGTCTGTCGACGTCTACATCGATTTCAGCATGGTGGGATCCTCCACTATAAGCTGAAACCTCCCGGTGTTGGTAGATTATTGCACCAGTGGATCTAGGACTTTCTCTTTGGACGATAGTGTAGAGAGCAGGTCGACGGTCATCCTACTGACAGGTGTCCTGCTGGTGGTCAACCCCAAGGCACGGTGCTGTAACCCACTCTGTTCTTAATTCACATGAACGATCTACCTCAGCTTCTTCGGTCGCCGTGTGTATCGTTTGTGGATGGCCTGAAATTTTGTAAAGCAATTAGCACCCCAGACGACTGCGTCCTACTTCAGCAAGATACCAGTCGCCTTTCAATGTGGTGTGCAGAAATCCGCCTTCCGATCAACGCAAGCAAGTCAGCATTTATGAGCCTGGGGAAAGGTGGTGAGGGCCCAACTTACGCTATTGACGGTCACTTCCGTGAAGGACCTAGGTGTACTTTGCGCTGCGACAACATCGCGAATACACTATATCGTAACGGACTGCATATGCTTTGGGGCCCTTAAACACATCTTCTGTACTTGGTATTAAGTTGTCGCCACTCGCCTTTTCTCTTCCATCGAAAGACCAATACTTGAGTACGGCTCGCCCACCTGCCTAATCACCCGAAGCGAAGCACAGAACATCGAACGGGTTCAACACGTCACTTCCAGGCTCATTCCTGGTTTAGGAGGATTGCCGTATGAAGACCGCTGTAAGAAACCCGAGCTCTACACCTTGTCCTATCGAGTTGATTGTGTCGTGCCCAACCGGATATTACATCCCAATGACTTCCCTATAGTAAGGTCGCTGTTTCACTTGCGAACGCCATGCACTACATGCGGACACTGATACACGGTTGTGCCATCGGACATAAAGCGTGTTCCTCACACCTTGTGCTTCGAACGAAGAGTGGTAAATGTTTAGAACACTTTGGCAAATCTGTGCGGCAGTTCAAAATTTTGTTGGATTTACATTTCACCACCATCCGATTCAGAATATGATATTGTACACTGGCAATGACATCTTGCTACTGTGAGCCAAATGATACTGTAGGTCAGACATTTGAAAATGCTACCTATACCATTGAAGAGGATTACCGTATCGACAGATGGCAGCTACTTTTTAGAACGTCTTTGTTTATACATCGACAGTTGTACCGATTTAAATTTCTACCTACTCCAACAAGACAGTTTTCAATATACATTCTGGAGGTTTCTGACTTTCCATCGTTGCACTGCCATTGATACATACATGATCCATCGATTCCACCATTCAGTTCATTGTCCGATCAGTGACAGGATGGTTCTGGCATTTTGCTTTTAATCCGCGAGGATCCGCTTCGAACTTACGTAATCGCGGCCGGCCTAGCAACATCCTGGCCGACATTCAACCACCGGTACTTATGTGGAAGCAAGGCATCGATATGCAGTTCTGGTATACAACCATTTCACCACCTTTTTGTTGTTGGCTGTAAATGCATCCGCTATTTGTAGTTCTCACTGTGTTGTTAGCATCGTCCTCTTGCCTTTTATAATTCGTTACTGATTCGACTGAGCAAATGGATCAATCTTTACGCCGCCTAAACAAGTCGGTGCAACAAAGTATATCCGGCATCAGCAGCATACTGATTTTACTAAAGTAAAACCATTCAACCGGCTTATTAGTAGCTCTCTTGCTTTCTGCACCGTAACTAAAGGTCGCTCGCACGCGTGACTTGTTCTTAGTTACGCTGTACCCATACAATCACATCGAGTTCTGTTACACCCTTACGTGTTCTTCCCACCAGTCGCTTCATTACTAATAGCTGTCTCCAGACCATTATTATGTCCTTTCCTTTCTCTGATTATTTGTTCATATCTCATCTTCGTAAGGTAAGCGCCCTTGTCCACTCCCTTCACTTGTACTTCATGCCAGAGCCGTACCATCATCCATCATTTGACTTCCCAGCCGTTTGCGCAGGTGAGGTGCCGCCGATAATGAGGTGCTTGTGGTGTCCCTGACTTATCGATGAATATAGCCTTCTAGTACTGTGGTTTAGTAGACTACTTCCCTTCTCCACTTTTCCAGGCAACTTCAAATGAATTGGTCAATTCCGTTCTCCGCGTGGCCCACTTGCATCTGTATCGCGATCTAATCCGCTTATATGCTGTCTATAATGAAGCTATGATAAATTTGATTGGTATGTTTCCATCTTTCTTGGGTGACCTAGCCACACTGTATCCTCCTTTTTCGAACTTGCTTTGCACGACTCCCTTACACTTAGAAATTACTTTTGTTAGATTCACTCTCTGAGTACATTGATTTTTTAACAGTGCGGCACGATGTTGTTCATTGACTAGCTTCCCCGCAGCCAAACTCTGTCAGCCAACTACCGCACCTCTGGGAAATCGCAGTATGGTCGTTTCGTCCCACTGGGACTCACCAGCAGCGAGCAACCGATGGGTGTTGTTGGATTCGAGTCAACAACTTAAACCAATGCTGGGCCCTCTGGACTGATTAGTAGCTGCAATGTTATGGTTCCTTCTCCGTTGTAATGCACACTATCTCCGATTGCTACAGTCACACGCGAAGCTTGTATATCGCCCTATTGATACTGGTTCATCAGGAAGCTGTAGCTCTGGGGATCAACCCTGTACTTTGTATGTTCATAACATGAACTTCAATAGGAGATAAGTTTCGTTGTATCGAACCAGTCATCAATCATGGCGGTCCATCACCTCCACCCATGGCTTAGTGGATTATGATGTTTCCTAAAAGAAACCCATTTTACCGAATCCAGCAGGCGCGGGCTGTCAGCGGATCTCAGTAGGACGAAATGACCGCATAGCGCCTCTAAGAATGGATGTTAGCTGTCCAATTGAATCTGGCTGCGACGGACTTTCTCAAAAACAACCAAAACTCCCCTAAAGCACTTTAATAAAGACTATTTCATCTGGATCTGTATTCCCTAACTCTGACAGTGTGAAAGTGATCTGGTCTTCGGAGAATATCTCCGCTCTGCACCAGAGACAGATCGTATTTAAAAAATTTTCCGTTTTGCTCTACTTTACTGTACTTGTATTCGTTTTATATCGTCTTCTCCCACAGGTCGTTACTTTTCCATGTCCAAACGGGATTGCAAGCTTTCGTTGAACATCTACAAATCTTTCGTGAAACGGATGGATTCCATGAACACATTTGTTAAAATCGCAGAGGTAAGCATTTGGGACATGTCCACATATGCCTATCACGTCACCCAACCCGTTTACCTGTTTCGAATGATTTCGTAGACTTGCTAAGATTCTAAAAACATTTGATCTTCTGCGTCTACTACAACATTTTCTCGGGTACAGCATTATCCGATCTTTGACACCATTTTCGCACTCACATAGTTATTAGTGACGAAATGTTTGCAGCTAAACATGCATATTTTTCGCCATCTCAGGTGTTCGCACGTATGACATCAATGTTGGTATCGAGTCACTGCTATTGCATCTCCACTGAACATGCCTTCTTTTATCTCGCTCTCGTGCCAACATTGAGCAGATCACTCTCACAAATGTGCCCGTGTTAACATCACCAACACTTGTTCTAATTCACATTGGTCGAATACGGCCGACCTCTGCTATTTCAGGAAGCTGCCACAGCCATCAACTATGGTCCATTGAGCCACCTGCGCGAACTTTACTTTCTAATTTGCTCATACTGTAATTTCATCTTGCTCATATTACTAAATTAATAAATTGTTTGTTCCCAAACTGCAGGTGACATGTGTGTTCTGGCACAAACATATACGGAATTTTCTATGATCAAGAATAGTCGGAAAAATTTGCGGAAAGTGGGATTAGAGTGGCAGAATTGTTTGATCAATAGTGTGCTTCAATAACAACTGAATTACCCGCAATCAAATGGGCGTGGTAGTAACAGTTTCATCGACTGGATTGGTGTCTCGATTGCAATGAAACTGATTACTCATTACTGGTTGGAAGCAGCAAGAAGAGGTTTCTCTGTGTAGCTGGATATATTTTATATAGGCAAAGTGTTTGTCCAGCAATTTCTTAACTTCCGACACCGACTTTGCCTCAACTACGTGCTGCGGCAGGTCGTTCCGTACATGCATCACTCTCCGTTCGAAACAGAGTTGGTGGATGACCCGCTTCAAATCCGGTTCGGCACGCTTGTACCGGTGTCCTCTTGTGCTGCTTGGTGTGCGCGGATGAAGCAGCGGCCTCAACATGGGCTAATCACCAAGATGTAATATCCGGTGCGTCATGAGGAGGTCAATCCGCAGTCGACGATAAGCTAGGGACACCAGTCTTCCTACGGCATACCTCGTATATTGGGAATCAACCTAATGGCTACATGCTGCACTCGCTCAATCTTTTCTACCTCGCCCCGGGTGATAGGACAACACGCGGGAGAGCCATACTTTAGCGTTGGTCTTATTATTGAGACGAAGAGGCAAGTGGCAATCTTTTCGGACCAAGTGCTGAAGCTGCGCCTAAATGCCCTAAGCGTACGAAGGCTGTTTTGGTAAAGCCTATTCGTGTTGTCCGTGGACTTCAGGTCGTAGCGTGAGAGTGCACCGAGGTCTCGCACGAAAGGTGCGGAATGCAACGCTTGACCTGCCATCTTGTACGTTCGACTGTGCTCTTACTTACTCATCCTCATGAATTGCAACTTGACCGGATTGACCTCTGCAGACCACTTGGAGAGGCGGTCGAGGTCCTGCTGAAACAGGTCACAGTCTTTGGGTGTGCGGATTACTCTCCACACCATCTGCGAACAACGCGCAATGCGGATGGAATAGCTGAGGCGCATCCTTTATAGGGATCAGAAACAAAATCGTCGCCAGTACAGGGCCTTGGGGCATGCCGCTGCTCGATGGATACCAGTCGGTTAGATGGTTGTCTACCTGAACCCTCTACTTTCGATCAACAAGGAAATTCTTGATCCATTGGTGCGGTGAGCCGCCAACACCGCACATCCTCAGCCTGTCGAGGAGCACTGCATGATTCACCTTGTCAAAAGTTTTACTGAAGTCAATGTAATTGACGTCGACCGACTTGCCCTGGTTCAGCGCTTGCAACCATTCATGCCTCGTCAACAGTAGGTTGGAGATGCACGAGCGACCTTTCACGAAACCATGCTGTGCGGGCGTCGAGAGGCATTTCGACTTGAGTTGCAGAAGATTTTTCTTCACGATCTTCTCGAGCGTCTTTGCCAAAACAGCGGTCAGGCAGATCTGCCGGTAGTTATCCACTTTGCTTGGATTACCACCTTTCGGTATTGGCTTTACGAATGAGCATTTCCAGTCACCCTGTAATAGTGCAATGGATAGTGACCTGTCTAACAGCTCAGTTACGGAAGGCGCGATGACGGCCGGTAGGGACTTGAGGATTATTTGGTGGATTCCATGTGGCCCGGCAGGCTTCATCCTGTCAAAACTTGCCGGAAGCTTACTACATCCTCGATACTGCAATCCAGGCTGTTTAGGTCAGCGGCAACGGTACGCGTCGAACTTGTCTGGTGGAATAGAATCGTCATCTGACTGGACGACTAAACCGTAGTGTTTTGTAGGGATGAGACGGTAGGGCCAAATGGTCGCCACCCAACGCTAAGACGCGACGGGCTGGTAGTTATCCTGCACACAGAGAAGGATATAAACTGTCTGGGATTGGTGATCCTCCAGATGTGGCAGTATAACGGTTATTCATATCCAAGTTATAGTTTCAGCCTGGGGGAATGAACAAGTTTTGATCTTCCGATAGCAGATTGAAGATACTGTTTAGTAGTATCGTAGTAAATATTGGAAAATATTATTCGAAACCGTTATTCTGGTGATGCAAAGAGCCGAACCCTATCCTGCAGGTGCCTTCACAGTTTGCCTCACATCTGGTGGGAACACCGCATGAGTAATGAGCGTGTTCGACGCCTTGTTTACGGCACAGGAAAAGGAAATGAACCGCTCAGCACCGTTATTTCACGCACCAGGCTCCGATGGCTGGGCCACGTGTTATGCATGCCAGCCCACCGACTCCCGCGACGTGCGTTGTTTGCGTGCCGGGGGGGTGTGGATGGAAGAAGGGGAGAGGTGACCAAGAGAAGACTTGGTCAAAAGTAATGAAGGCTCTCACTTCGAAGCTAACCTCGCTTGGAGCGTCTCGGCTCCCTGGTTGGGGTCCGAAAGACGATGAACACATTTGGTTGAATACACTTGCTGACGTGGCTAGGGGCCAACCTCAGTGGCGTTCGTACTGTGCGTTCCTTTGTCCTTCCGCATCCATGTTAGCTTCCCCATCCAACTACGATCCCACTTCTTAGCCTAATACAGTTTTGCACAATAATTTTTTGCTGCATATTAGTCGGCTGTTAGCTTTCCGGAACAATTCCCATCCGTTACTGGTAGCTCAGCTGGCGCGCACCTGTTGCACTTGTTTCCTTTTTTATTTAGTGCGGTAGAGTAGCTGAGGTGTTTCGCACCAAGGTAGCATAGTATTGATCCTTCGGGTACGGCAAGCATCTTAACAAAGTCTATCATCTATGGTAAAGTGGAAGAGCTATCACGTAGGAGTGAATGTGACTTGTTAACCCTCCGAGTAAATGTAGGAACCCCACTTACTATCACCCGCGTAGTTTCAGATAAATAGCATGTGAGTGTTCTTCTACTACGAAGATGCGAACCCATTTGTTTAGGCGTCAAAAAATTGGAAGCTCTATCCAAGCTGAGAACTTCGTAATCCATCCGTTGCGGTAAGTTGTGACAATTGCAAGATAATCGGCTATTTGTAGAAAGGGCAAGGGTTTAGTTTGCTGGCGAAACTTGGTGCCAACTGAAATCGGCACCAGCAAACAATCCTTCTGTGTATCAGCGCGACATCTGATTAAGTACCTGGGAAGTATGCACAGCAAACCAAGGACAAATAAACAGAGGTCATCGGATACCAACGATAACAAGTGAAAGGCTTATAATTGTGGTAGCATTAGTGATTCGGCATATTTTGTATAAACAAGGTTACTACATCATCATCAATACACGTTTGCAGAGGACGAGGAATGCACCTCAGCTAATGTGTCGTGAAACAAAATGACAAGAGATTATGCAATATAGAATAAAAAAGCTTAGAAAGTAACCTAATGCTAAAGGCCACATTTGACATCATTTTTGGAAATGGAAAGTAAAGCGAAGAGGAGAAACAATGATTCACAGCGCAAACACCACTGAGCTCGACTCTTCGACATATCGGCTAGTGTATCCAACCAAACGTGTTCATCGTCCTTCGGACCCCAGCCGAGCAATCGGAATACACCAACGGACACCAACTTCGAAGTGAGGGACTTCATTCCTCTTGCCCAAGTCGTCACTTAACTTCCCCTCCTATTCTAACCCTCGGCGCTCAACCAACCCACGATGCGGGAGTCGGTGGGCTGGCATGCGTAACACGTGGCCCAGCCATCGGACCCTGTTAAGTGATATAATGGTGCTGATCCGTAGGACAAGGATGTATACGCTTTACTGGTCTAACAACGAAGGTGCTTTTGCTGAAAAGTAAAAGAGTTGTTTATGATGTGACATGTACAAGGGGGCAAGTGTATGCATACGACACTCGGATTCCCTCGCGCAGGCACTGTTTGTTGATTTTTTTAAGGTCCTATACAAAGCACTGACCTCACTGTTCTAATAAATCTGGAAGGAAGAGACCATTCTGCCTAACTTGGGTGAATCAATTATAGTGACAATATACGAGAATGGCAGTCGTACATGCTGTGCTGCCCACAAGTGTATCAGCCTAACGGCATTGGTGACAAAATTACTGGCCTAAGTTCTCGTTTGTCGTCTCACTGCGGAACGAGATTCCCTGACTAGGAAAGAGCAAGCAAATTTCCGCCAACGTGGCCGCTGTATGGATGATATATTCACTCCGCGGCAGGTGTTATAACAACGCCACACGTACCGCAGACTGACAGTGGCTGTGTTCTTGAACTTCGAGAGTGCGTCCGACTCAATCGACCGATGCATTTTGTTCCAAATACTTGCGCGAATAAGTGTTATCATGCAATATGTAAACCTTTTACGTGTACTGTTCTCGAACACCACAGGCAGTGTCATGATCTACGGTGATTTGTCGAATGCCTTTCCGACAACAAATGGCTTTCTTTAGGGTTGTCTAATTTTCCCATTTTTCTTTAATTTCGTAGTAGACTGCGTCATGGA